CGGAGACAACAACATGCACAAAAACAGGACAGAGCAAAACCAAGCAACAATGTACAACAAAACAGCAACAACAACAAACCACTGACAAAGAACAAATAAAAACACACCAAGAAAGAAAAGCTTGTAGTTAGTTCAAGGATCGCTGACCTTTAGGAGTGTTTTCCAGTCCAGTCTGTTGGGCACCATGCCCTGGCCCCAAAGTCCACCTTTAGCATTCCCTGGGGATCTTGCTGCTCCATTCCCTTGCTGTTCCGCTGCACTCCCCCAGTGCTTTGCTTCAGTGTGGTGGGATCAGATCGGGTGCGATTCCCACACTGTGTCTCTGGTGTTGTCCCCCGCAGGGCCATGGGTCAGTGAGGGCCATCATGCCCCATAGTGGGGCTGGCCATGTGGCCCTCTCTGTTACTGGCTGTTCTTGTCCTCAAGGATGTGCTCCCGTGTGCTCCGATAGATACATCTCTCTCCCGGAGCTGCGGATTCAGTGCCGTCCTTTGAAATAAATTCTTCTCAGGGGAGGTGCAGGCATTCACTTAGTATTTGGGACTGGGGCCAGCCCCCCAGATCTCTCCACTGGCTCCCTACTCCGCGCCGGCATGTTGCCTTCACACCTTGGAGCACTGAGTTGACATCTGCTCCCTCTTTTCCTGTGGAGATATAAACAGTACCCTCCCCTTGGGTGGGTTAGGGCCCCATGCCCCCGCTACCCATTTCTTCCTTATTTTCATCATTTCTTATAGTATGGTTAATCTTTCATTAGAATGTAAGTACACTTCTAACCAAAATGATTTTGAACCTATTTTACCGTACGAAAGTAGTGTCAGCCTTTAGACCAGCTGCAAAGCCTGGCACACTCATGAAGGCAGCGCTCTGATGACAGTTAGCACCTGCCCCTCTCAGGTAGGGTCACAGCTGGTGGCTATGATTAAAGCAGCTAAGTTGTCCCCTCGGGAAAGTCATGAGCAGCACTCGCCAGATGCCTGGGAGGGCAGATTCCTCTCGCAGGGAGTGTGCGTGTGCACAGAAGTGCGCTGTTGGGAAGGGATGGGAGCAGAGGATCCAGCAGCTTACCGTGGACACACCGTCGAGCAGTGGCTCTGGGTTTGCATGTCAGCTCTCAGACCCTCCTAAGGTGGCCTGTGGTCCTGGCCTGCTTTCTTCTGTGTGTCTGCCACAGAGAAAGTGGTCAGTGATAGAAAATTCTAGTCATTGAAAGCCTGCCCCTCTCCCTGAAGGCCCAGGCAGGTTGGATTTTAACAAAGGTTGTTTCTCCTTTCTCTCATAAATACCTGACGTAGGCCTTTGAGTCGTAGGCAGTCTGTTCTTTCGGAGAGTAATTGCAGTCAACAGTGTGCTAGGGTGGACTTAGGAATGTCCTCCGGGCTGACACCCGGAAATGAAAACTCCCTAGGGAGTTTTTGGAGCCGTGCAAGGGAAAGTGGAGCCGGCACGTTACTCGGCGAAGTTGAGTTGGATGGAAGCCGCTTCTGACCTGCCAACAGTCTTGGTGCTCCAACTGCTGGGGCTTTAGGATAGCCAGCCACGGTGCCACCTCATAGCCTGTAATTCCATGACTAACTCCCTGTTGGGAATCAGGGCCACAGCTTAGAACAGTCACTAGCAAGTAGTGATGAGTCTCATACTCATCCCCAGGTTCTGACCATACCTGAGAGGAATGAGGTGTGCGTGGGAAGCTGAACCTCAGAGAAGGCATGGGCCTCCCTGTGGGAATAGACAGCCCTGCCTAGGTCTCTGGCTGAGAGCCGCAGAGGGGCTCTCCAACATTTCAGTCAACTATCTGTAGCTTACAGTGGTTCTCAACCTTCCTAATGCCGTGACCCTCTAATATAGTTCCTCGTGTGGTGACTCCCCCCAACCATAAATTATTTTCGTTGCTACTTCATAACTGTAATTTTGCTACTGTGATGAATTGGGCGACCCCTGTGAAAGGGCCATTTGACCCTCAAAAGGGGTTGCGACCCACAGGTTGAGAACCACTGACCTAAAGTGTCCTTAAAAGTGCTTGGTTTTACATGTAACTTGTAAAGTCAGAGCATGTCCTACGGCTGTCTTTCATGGACGCTAAGGACCGCTGGCATGCAGTGAAGGCTTCTGCACCCTGAATTTCATTGACTTTGCCTCTCCTCCTCAGAGGTTTGATGGGCTCTAAGTCACCGCCATTGTGACTTTGTTGCAAGCCCTCGCTGTGGCTCTTCTCAGCTTGCTGTCTTCTCCTCACCCAGACGGCCCTCGCTCTGCAGGCTGGCGAGAACACGTGGAACGGCGGCGCCGCTTCGAGTTTGACTTCAGGGATCGTGATGACGAGCGAGGCTACCGCAGAGTGCGCTCTGGCAGCGGGAGCATCGATGATGACAGGGACAGCTTGCCGGAGTGGTGCTTAGAAGATGCCGAAGAGGAAATGGGCACTTTTGACTCATCGGGAGCGTTCCTCTCTCTGAAGGTGAGAAAATGGTTGCTAGTACCATGACCAAGGCCTGCCCTCCACCTCCTGCCAAGTGTGCTGTTGACCTTTGGCTTTATGTTCTCTGGACAGAAAGTGCAAAAGGAGCCCATTCCAGAGGAGCAGGAGATGGACTTCCGGCCTGCAGAGGAAGGGGAGGAGTGCTCTGACTCTGAGGGCAGCCATAATGAAGAAGCCAAAGAGCCCGATAAGACAAATAAGAAAGAAGGAGAGAAAACAGACAGACCAGCTGTTGGTAAGGTTTATTTTGGTCTTTTCCCATTTTAAGCGTGTTTATGTAATCAAACGGAACTTCCCTAAATTGTTAAATCAAGATTACTTTGTGCTACAGAAGCTAGTGAAGAAGCACTCCAAACCTCTTCATCGTGTGCTAGAGCGGGCACTCCTGCCGATCACCCACCCCAGGAAACCACGCAGTTGGAGGGGCAAGAGGAAACCCAAAAGGAGCAAGCAGAAAAGGTGGAGGAGGAGAGTCGAACGGAAAACAGTTTACCAACCAAAGTGCCCAACAGAGGAGATGGTATGTACGTGTGAGAGGAGTGGCACCCAGTCAGCATTCTCCCGAGGCCAGGTTTGCCCGGCTCAGTGCCTGCCACTCAAGCTCCTGGTGGGTGAGGTCTCGGACTTGATTACCTTACTGGGAAGCCTGGTGACACAGTGCTTCCCAGGTTCCAGGCAGAATGGACCTCTGGGGGCAGAGCTCACCCGTAGAAGCTCTACCTCTTGCAGTGCTGCCTCAGCGCCTACCTGGCATCCATCTCCTGCCCTGGCCTCACCATCTCTGCGTTCATTTCAGCCCCCAGCAGACAGCTTAGCAGCCTTGCCTGTGATAGCTGGGTGTGTGCTCAGCCCTCATTATCAAAATTTGACAGTTCCAGGAGAGGCAGAAAAGATGTGGTCGAATGTATACATGTCCTTCCCTCATCTGTCCTCTAAGAATAGCATGAGTGGCTATTTCTAGCTGATGTTACAGGGGATGATTTTAAAATTGCTCATAAATTACCATGTCTCCTCTTCGATATACCAAAAAGTAACACTGTCAAACCCAATATTAAAGGGTCTCCCTCCTATGCCACTGGTCAGCCATCCTTGGTCCCCGAGGCCCTGCTCACTTGCCTCCATGTCACATCACTGGTCGGACTTCAGGCCTAGACATTGCTCCCACCACGAAGCCCCAAGCTGTCTCTGACTTGATGATTTCTGACACCATCATCATAATTTGTAGCCACCTATTACTATGTGAAGTCAGTCCCTCGTCTGTCTTTGCCCATTAAACTAATTATTTTGGAGGGCTTGGACCAGGGATTTCTCTTCAGGTTTTTAAAATTTATTTTTTATTGTCTAGAACATAGCTGAAGTGAGTGCATGAATTTAGTGAGTATTTGAATCCGTACTGTTCATAAGTGGCCCCGTGGCCCCGTAGTATGGACCCATTGTGTAGGCAATAGGGAAGTTTCATCTGTCACCTGCCCTGTAAGTACTGGTGGCACATTTCATGGAAGGTACATGCCTGGCCCTTAGTGTAGAAGATGTCGAGATGGAACCCAGGCAAGTCTATTTTGAGAAAGCTTCGCAGATATGCCTTAAAGGTTGACACTGTGGATTTCTAGTTTGTAGGGGTCACAAGGTGTTAATGGGTAGTCTAGGGCAGATGGGAATGGTCGGAGCTCCCTGGTGGCCAGGATCAGACGGCCAATGGTGTTGGAGCTTATCTTTGGACAATAAGTCAAATCTGGAGACAGGTAAGAGGCTGGATTGAGGGAGGACCTCCTGGCTGTATGAGGAGGTGGGACTGCGCTGGGCTTTGACAGGACCTGGCCCAGGTGGGAGTGTTGGGGTGAGGAGGAGGAGAGGTGGGAGAGCGTGCTTGAGCATGGGCACGGCAGTGGTGCGTCGGCAGCTTGTTGTACTGGCAGATGGGCTGCCATGTAGCCTCCCAGTCCACTGTGTGTCAGCACCGTGTTGACACAGCGCTTGTGAGGAAGGCAGCAGCAGTTGTTGCAGCCAGCCACTGCCTGGCCCTGAGGGAAGAGTGGAAGTGGCAGAGATAGCTGAAAGCAGCGTGACACTGTTCACAGGAAAGCCCATACGGGAGGGGAGAGAGTGCTCACTTTGAGCTTTGATTCGGAGGAGCTTGTGGGAGAGGGGAAGAGTTAGCCAGGAAACAGCTGGGAATGAGGGACCTTGGCCTTTGGAATGTGGTACAGCGGCTAGATGGGCAGAGTGTAGGGCCAGAGTGAGAAGGAAGAGCAGGCTCAGAACACAGTCAGGAGTCCATCCCCTTTGAGAAGGTAGGTGATGGGGGAGGAGCCAGAGCAGAGGCTTCAGAGGAAAAGTAGAACTGGGGTGGTGGTGGGGTGTTTGAGTGCAAGGGAAATAGGAGGAAGACTGTTAGATGTCATGGGGTGGGGGAGGGAGGACCAAGTAAGGCCACTGCTTCTCTTGAGAGAAAGAAACCTTATTGGGAGGCTTATTGGTGTAAGATTGTGGCAGGTAGAGGTAGATGCAGTCGTTCTCTAGTCTAGCCTCTGTTCCCAACACAGTCCACATCGCTCGGGTCCAGCTAACCAGATGCCCGCAGGAGACGGAGGGAGAGGGGTGCACTTCCCGAGAAGGTCTCGTCACTGCCCATTCTTCCCAGGATGTTCATCTGTCTCAATCTTTCCCTCTAGAAATGGTCCCTGAAGCCCAGCAGCCCCTGTCACAGACGCCTGCAGATGCAGCCTCTTCTCTCCTCATTCTTTCGCTTCCTGCTCCCAACCCTAGCCCTCCCCTCCGGCCAGTGGAAACGCCAGGCGTCAGTGCTCCTGGTATGGGCAGTGTTTCCACAGAGCCCGACGACGAAGAGGGTCTCAAACATCTGGAGCAGGTGAGCAGCAGCTCTCAAAGTGACATAAAAATTAGAAAGCTAGTAAGGTGACTCCAGACACCAAACTTCGGTGCTTTGTACATTTTAAGCTCTGGAACAGTTTGTCTAGTATTTATTTGAGTCGTTGTCTTTCAAATCATTTCATGCTTTTACGTTTCTGCTATGTAATAGTCACCATGTGGTTATTGCCCTCAGCTGTTTGCTTTTCCTTTTGGAAATCGATGGAATGCCAGAAATGGTGACTGCGAGCATCTGCGCATGGGCACCGTGTCTTCTGTGGTTTTTGTCTCAAGTGTAACTGGGAAAATAGTCCTGTAGCTGCTCAGGATCTCGACGTTTTACTCCCTTCTCTAGATTTCGCTGAGATTGTGTGTACCACTGTTCAGTGTGGTGTGGGGGAGGGTAATGCTCACTTTCCTTCGGGGAAGGCTGGTTAGTGGTGAGGAATGCTGAAGAGGGGAGGGGTGGAGAGTGTCTTACAAAGGCATGTGCAGAACTGCATTTGCAACTAGTTTGGTTCGGTCTTTTGTCCTGTTTGCATCTGGGCTTTCAGAGGGTTAGTTTGTCCAGTTTAAAATTGACCAGTGACTTCTTGGTTTAAAAACCACATTTCTTAATGTGTTGGTTAGAAGCCTGGGCTTTGATCTTAGCCAGTTTGTCTTCTACTTAATCATTTTGAGACTTGCACAAGACTTGACTCCTCTTTCACCCTCAGTAGAATGGGGAGAATATCTTTCTCATGGCATTGCTGGGAGACGTAGACCGTTGCCTGCTTTGCTCCATGTGTAAGGCCGTTCACAGCTCCAACAGTTTCCAAAAACACAGTGGATGCTATGATTGTCTGCATAAGTATTCATTTAGGATTGTTTCCTCAATCTCTCCCCACCCTCCCTTCCCGTGTGTGTGTTTCTGCTCGTAGCAAGCTGAGAAGATGGTGGCATATCTTCAAGACAGTGCACTGGATGATGAGAGGCTGGCATCAAAACTGCAGGAACACAGAGCAAAAGGCGTCTCGATTCCGTTAATGCATGAAGCAATGCAGAAGTGGTATTATAAAGACCCCCAGGGAGAAATCCAGGGTAAGCCATTTCTCCTTAGTCCGTACAGACTGCATTCGCCGCCAGGTTCTAGAGGATGTTATTCTGAATAGGTATTAGGAGACTAAATCAGTTTCCTCCAAAATCTACCATCTTAGTATGTGGGGGGCAAGAGGGGGTTGTTGTCGATGAAAATAGCGTGAAGCGAAGCAGGATGTGATGGCTCTTGATAAGGGTGTAAGGACAGTGCTGCATCTGCTTCCAGCCCAGTGCGTTTACCTGTGAGTTGTCTCTCCCCCAGGCTCTGTAGTGAGAGCCAGGATCACTCCTGATGTTGATGATTTGTGCCTTCTGTTTTGTTTTGTTTTGTTTGTCAATCTTGCTGGAAGTTTGTAAATGTTACTGATTTTTCTAATAATCAGTGCTTTGTTTCATTGATTTTCCTCTCTATTTTTAAGTTAATCGGTTTGTGCTCTGTATATTTCCCCCCTTTTGCTTGCTTAGGATATATTTGTTATTGTCTAGTTTCTTGAGGGTTGGAGCTTAGATTACTGACTTGACACTTTGGCTTGAGGGCGGGGGTGCTCTTTTTAAAAAAATCATTTTATTGGGGGCTCCTACAGTTTTATCACAAGGCATACATCCATTGTGTCAAGCATATTTGAACATTTGTTGCCATCATCATTTTCAAAACATTTTCTTTGTACTTGAGCCCTTGCTATCAGCCCCTCCCCTCATTCCCTACCCCCTCCGTCCTTCACAAACCCTTGATAATTTGTAAATTGTTATTTTTTTCATGTCTTAACACTGACCGGTGTCTCTTCACCCACATTTCTGTTGTCCGTCCCCCAGGCAGGGGGTTACATGTAGATTATTGTGATCGGTTCCCCCTTTCTCCTCGGAGACTCTTTTAATGTAAGCATTTAACAATATACAGTTTCCTCTTTTTACTTGTGTCCCATCCTATTTGCTATATCACATATTCATTTCCTTCTAGTTCAGTGTCTCAAAGCGACTTCAAAATGTTTTTGTGAAAAATGGAATTAAAAGATAATAGGATTTTTTCATTAACGCTTGAAGCCCTCGTGTGTGTCTTAACTTTTTTTCCCTTTAATTTTCCTCATTTGACCATGGGTTTTAGAAGTGCATTGTTCAGTTTCACAGCTTTGGAGATTTTTCCGGTTATCTTTGTAATTGATTTCTAGTTGAGTCCCTTGTGGTTGAAGAACACACTCTTCATGATACAATTTTTAAAAATTCTTTTCAGCTCTCTTGTATGGTCCAGAATCTGGCCAGTTTTGACACAGGTCCTGTGGACACTTGAAACACTTGTATGTTTTGCTGTCGTTGAATGTCCTGTACATGTTGGATAGATCTTCATGGCCGAGGGTCTTGTTGAGTTATTTTTCCCTGATGATCCGTCTGGCTGTTTCCAGCAACTGAGCGAGGGTTAGAAGGCTGTTGAAGTCTCTAGCTATACTTGTGGATGGTTCATTCGCAAATCAGTGTGTCTTCAGCTCTGCCTTGTAGTGCGGACACATTGAGAGGTGGGGTCTGGCGCTTCTCTCGTTGCATGAAATGGTGCTGAGAAGTCAGGATCGATAAATCAGACCTTCATTTCAAAGTGATGTCTGTTACACCACCTTTGGAAAGGAATGAAATTAAGGTACCATGCAAAGTGTTCAGTGGGGTTGCCACTTGAAAAGGTAGGCGGCACCTCTAGATGAGGGTTAGAGAGATTCTTTTCAGCTCTGTACCAGCAAGGATTCCTAAGTGCCCTTTTGCTTCATTGGTGGCCCCGCAGGTCCCTTCAATAATCAGGAGATGGCAGAGTGGTTCCAGGCGGGCTATTTCACCATGTCTTTATTGGTGAAGCGAGCGTGTGATGAGAGCTTCCAGCCTCTTGGTGACATCATGAAGATGTGGGGAAGAGTGCCTTTCTCGCCCGGCCCCGCCCCCCCGCCTCACATGGTACGTACATGAGCTCACTGTGAACATACATCAGTACTTACATCTCCGTGAAAACCCAGCTTGATGTCATACGTGGTAGAAATCACTAAGAAATTCGGGAGCTGATTCGGAGCCTGTAGATGTCACTTTAATGATCTGTCCAAAGTCAGTCATTTGTGCTCTTCTGCTTCCTTTTCCTTTTTTCCTTTTGATTTTTGGTAAAATCCCCACACAGCCACGGAGAAGCATTTCGACGACGTCTGCATGCACAAGTCAGTGACGTGGATCGTGTCCTTTCTGTTCCAAATTTCTCCACCACCATTAGTGTAAACACACATTCCCTGAAGCTCCCCACATCCTGCTTCACAGTTTGTTGGTGGGATTGAGTGCAGCGGGAGGTTAGGGAGCTCCTTGCACTCCTCCCCAGCAGGACCATGGACGTTCTTGGATGTGGGTGCAGTTTTTCTCCCCTGAGAGTGACACACTCCTCAGAGCTTCTTGATCATTGACACCAACTTATGTTCTCATGCTGACATTACACGGAGCTTCTGAGTCCTCCTTTGTTTCTGAAGCCACAGCTAGGAGCCCAGCTCTTCTAAAGAGACCGTGCTTGGGAAACAAGGCACAATATAAGAGCAACTTCTTGGTCATTGGAACAATAAAGTATTAGCCCATGTGGCTTCTCCTTGGGTATGTTTTGTAGGAAGTCCGTCTTGCAACCTGGCACCTGTACATAGTTCTTTAGCGTCACAATTACAATTCAGTTATGCCTACACCTTAACCCTATGATACTGTGAATTTTCCCCCACCTAAGAAAGTTTGTAAGCCAACCACTTCATGCCTTTATCTCCCCCAATTTGGGGTATCCAATTTATGTACTGCCCACTTACATCAACCCAGTTCTCTGAGAAGACAATCATATTTTTCGACATGAAGAGTCTTCATTCCAATCGGAACCTTGTGAAGTCTGCATCCATAAGCAAAGTCAAATCCAAACAAATCTTGCAAGCTGAAGCAGGAAACTGCTAAGGCAGCTGCACCCTGGTGCGACCATCACAAAGCGAGAGATCCGAGAACTTGAAAGGCGAGGCTCACCGAGCCATTTATCCCTCCGCCCTTCAATTAATCCCACATGTGTTTATCGTCCAGGTTGGCACAGTAAACTAAGTCAGGAAACAAGGCACAATATAAGAGCAACTTCTTGGTCAGTGGAACAATAAAGTGTGGGCAGAGATAGATCTTCATAGTGCACATGACCAATACTGTGGGCACTTTCCCATCTTCAAGTTCTGTGCCTGTTTCTCTAGTGCGCGCTCACCCCGACAGCCACAGTATCCTTGGGTACCTCTCCACAGATGTAGAGTGAAGGTCAGAGCCTCCCTTTGACCTCCCAGAGCCTGCCCAGGCTGACATTTTGCCTTTCTTTGGGTTAGTGAGAAAAAAAGAGGCCCCTCAATTCAGGCGACTCCCACCCCCCAGATAGTCTGTGCAGACTCTCATCAGTGCAGTAGCAATCCAAGCGCTTCACTAATGATTTGCTTGAGTTTAGTGTGTGTCATCTTTAGACCGTATCTCTTTTTATCTTACACTTCAGATTTCATTTATCTTCTCATTTAACTTGAAAAATTAGACCTGGTCTTCCCTGTTTGAAATGCAGTACAAAAATAGGGTTTTACTGTACTTCCTTCCTCACCCTTCTGTACTAGTATCAATGGAGACCACCTCGTTTGTGTGTAGAGAGGGTTTTCAAAGCTCATTCTGTGTAGTTTAAACTGGATCAGCATCTTAAAGAAAGTGTCTTTGTAGGTGTCCTGGCTCCATGAAATATATCGACTATAATAATTTCCTTAGCTCTTCATTTTGCTCTTCTCATGTGCTTCCCCTTCTCTCAGGCTACTGCTATCTCCACATTGGTAGCCCATGTGTGAGTAAGATGGGAGGATGCGAAGGCCTTCCAGGGGCAGCTATAGGAAGCACCGCTCAAGGCCAAGGTGGGAGGTCACCTTAGGAAGTGAGGGCTCTTTTCCACCTTGAGGAATCTCTTATTCTACAAAGTGTCATGGTGTCATTTTAAAGATGCTTCCTGAGAGGTGGGCGTGGGTGGTGCTGTGGTCCCCTATGGTAAGTGACACTTTCCTGCTTCTGCTTCCGTCCATTGCAATGGATTGAGTGACCTCTCTTCACTCCCAGGGAGAGTTGGACCAGGAACGACTAAACAGACAACAGGAGCTCACAGCCTTATACCAGATGCAGCACCTTCAGTACCAGCAGTTCTTGATACAGTGAGTGCGCGCATGCCTTTCAGAGGCTCTGTCAGTGCACTCTCGTGTTCAGGTGATGACACCGTCTCTCGCTCGTTGCAGACAGCAGTACGCACAGGTTCTGGCTCAGCAACAGAAAGCAGCCCTGTCCTCCCAGCAGCAGCAGCAGTTGACGCTCCTCCTCCAGCAGTTCCAGGCACTGAAGATGAGGTTGGTGGTCGCCAGGTGGTGTGTCTCATTGTGCGTGTGCGCGCGCGCGCTCACCTGCAGGCTGCATGACAGAGAGAAAAAAATTCTGGTATCAGAATAGCCACTTGCAGCATACACCGCCCATGTGGTCGGTGTATCAAAACAGAAGAAAGATAGGAGTAGTTAAGCTCAAGGTAAGACATTGGTTTCATCTTTTCACTCCTGGAGAGTCACTGTGGAATCATAAGTAGACAATAATGAGGACACTGAGAAGCAGTGTGGTATTACAGGAACAGCAAAAGCATTTGTCTAGGATCACAATCTCACTTTTACCTGTGCGGTTTCAAGATCGGCCACCACGCAGGTTATTAATTTTTTGAAGGTATTCTGTAAGGAATAGGAAATTAGACTAGCTGCCTTCAAGTTTTTTTTGTTTTTAAGATCATGGTGTAGTTGAGATAGTGTTGTGCGCATACTTGAAAAGGTATCAGTCCCTGCTCTCAAAAACCTTCGCCAATTTAATCAAAAGCGCTCACATTTTTCTCTTGGGTGTTCCCCCACCCTGTGAGGTAGGCAGGTTAGGTCAAGGGGCCTCTAAGAAGTCTAGGGACCAGGAGAGAGCCAGCTAAAAGGGCAGGCTTTGGACTTTGTGTGGGGGGGTGTTTTCATCACATGGTGCTTCCGCGGCTCTCTGGAAATGGTCAGGATATGTTAAGATAGTAGGTGTACCCATTTCTCAGATGTCAAGATCTCCTGGTCCGTGGGATTAGGGGCCCATGGAGCCTGCCCGTGTCTTTGATCTTTGGCAGTGTTGGGCATTAGTTAAAGCAAGGAAAGAGTTTTCTGGCTACGTATCCTGGAAAAACTCGAAATAATAGAAAAGTCCTCTTTGTCATGTTTAATTTTGCAAATACCAGACCAGTCTGCTTTGTCACTCCCCTTTGACAGGCTGTCTGATCAGAGTGTCCTCCCCCCAGTCACTCGGCCGGTGTCGGTGCCAGACCCAGGCTCCATTTGGGAGCTTCAGTCATCAGCCTCACAGTCGACAGGTAAGGACAGAGACCAGCCTTTATCTCTGTCAGGTTTTAGATTTGGATAATAGTTTGTGTTTAGCTTTTTCACATTTTGGGGTGTGTTTGGTATTGAGTGCCAATGAAAATTTCCTTTTTTTTTTTTTAAGTAGAGCCCAGTGAAGGGTTGAAGGCACTGTTTTGGTTTTTTTGGGAAGGTAAAGTTGACAACTACCCTGTGCAGGATTTGCTAGATCTCATTGAGTAGCTCCCGTTTCTTGTGTTAGAGCCAACTCTGATGCTACTCAAGCCAGTGAGGGGAGCCTTTCTAGATGCAGAGTAGTGGGAGCCAGCCTTTCGAATCACCCCACGGAAGAGAACGACCTGCCTGGAACGAACACCTGGTCTCATCCGATGGTCTTTCTGCGTCAAGTTAGGAAATTTCCAGATTGAGGTTTTGTTAAAGTCTTGGCATTGGTCACGGGCTTCTAAAATGAAGGGTTGACACTCACAGAGTGGATTGTTGGATAGTCCTGTTTGGAGGCTCTAGTTGGAATTAAAAAATCCCAGGAGCCCTGAGCCTTGATGCCTGTTTTTTGTTTGTTTGTTTTTGATTCCTGTTTTGAGACTACCCATCCAGGTTGTTGTTCTCTCAGCAACACTGTCCTGGGATGATGGGGCATCCCTTGGCCCTGGTCTCTGCTCTGGCCACCTGCTTTCTCTTGATAACCTGAATTATAGCTTGTTATTTTTGAAACCGTTCCCGTGTGGAATCAAGGTCTTTTATAGTTATTCCACGGGTTTTATACAGAGAGATATTATTTATTAGCCCATAAATTGACAGGCGTAGGCATTAGGAGGTAGGGACTGCCGAGGGGTGATGTCAGCCAGTCCAGGGGGTGTGGGGACACAGGCTCAGAATTGATTTTCTGCTGACTTTCTGCCCATCTGTTGCCGGATACGAGCCACCGGTGAGACCTGTCCAGACTCCTTAGCCCCCACTCTCTCCTTGTAGTGTGCTGTAGGGTCCTGGGGATACCCTGGGCTCTGGAGCTGAGGACAGACACTTGGGTTGGAAGCCTAGCAAAGCCACAGGCTTGTGTGGGTGCAGAACTGCCTCTGACTGTTTTTTCTTCCTCTGTGAAAATGAGGTGATGGACAGACACCTTCTAGGGCTTGTTGAGGACCACTTTGTTGCTAAATAAATGCTGTTGTTGCCTTCATCTCTGCATGTGGGGTGGGATGGCAACACCGAGCAGAGCCCACTGGCAGTCTGGCCTTCTGGGTCAAGGAAGCGGCCCTGACACGCCCCCGCCGTCCTACAGGTTGGGAGGGCAGCAGCGTGTGGGATCTTCCCCTGGACACCACGACGCCGGCACCTGCCTTGGAGCAGCTTCAGCAGCTGGAGAAGGCCAAGGCTGCAAAGGTCTGTGGCGTGCATGATGCGGGCCTTCCTCTCGGTCAGCTGGGCGGGGTCCCGTGCTGGCCGTCAGCTCCCTCTCTGCCTCTGCACCCTCATTCCTGATTCTCAGTGTGCCCTCTGCCCCGGAAAAGGCCCTCAAACCTCATCACAGAATTCAAACTTGGTGAGTGGTTGTGTGGCTGACCCTGAATCACCATGGCCTTGTGGCCCTTGTTAAGTCCCATTAAAACTTGGCGCCCGGACTTGTCACCTGCGGGACACCTGTGCAGAACTGCCCATGCACTGCTGTCAGACCAGGTCTGTAGTCTCCATTAGGGGGCTGTAGCGTTTGTATGCAGCCCCTGCTGTCACCGGAGAGCACAACACTGACTTTAGACCCTGTGCCCGTCGCCGCATTTTCTGGACGAGCTGGGAATTGTAGAGAGCGCCTTTCTACCACCTCCCATCACCTAGCATCACGGTCTGGCTTCTCACACTCCCAGGAACGCCTGGTTCCTCTTTCACACCTAGTGCACCTCTGCCACCTGAGGTGGTGACTGTCTTCCTAGAGTGCCTGGTCAGGGTTTATCTTAAATGAGGCCCTGGTCCAGATACTTCCCAAGGGCCTTCCAGTTCCCCAGTGTCCTGTGTGGCGAACACGTTCTTGATGAAGGATGGGCCCTTCATGGGGCTTGTGGGTCTGCTCCAGGGAGGGAAGGGCATGACAGTGACAGGGTGAACAAGAAGCCCACCGACCTGGCAGTGTACTTCCAATGCTCCGTCTGTGAACCCACTTTCACTTGGGAGGGGGTTGGGGCTTAGCCCAGTTGCAGGGTTTGGGCATGGCTGTGTAGAAAGGAAACTGCACCCACAAGGGCCCAGCAGTGCATGCGGACGGACACATTGTGGCCCCCCACTACCCAGGATCCTGGCTGGCTGGGAGCACACTCACATTCTCGCTGTTCACGTGCAGATAGGTGGAAGGAGAGGAGAGTAGGGGTGGTGAGACCAGCCAGCTGGGAGCAGCCGTGTCCTCTGGGCTGTGCTGCAGTTAGATTGTATTTCCAGGTTGAAGGGTGGTGTTGAAAGTAAGCTTGGGGGTGATGTTTTTTGGCGGGAAAAGGTGGCACTGAGCTGCAGGAAGTGGGCAGAAGAGGTACTTGGGAAACAGGGGAGGGACTGGGGTGTGGGTGAGGAAAGTGAGGTGTGCCTGGAGCCCGGGTGCTGGGGGCACAGGTATTTAGGGAAAATGTGTGAGACAGGAGTCATTAGTGATTGGTCTCTTCGCTTGGAAGAGCTCTTCTAGCCTGTCATACCAGCAGCTTCCCCACACTGCTGACTCCGCCGCTCGCTACCCTGTGTAGAGAAAAAGGGACAAGACCCTCAAGCCAACTGTGCGCGTGCCAGTGTGCATTACCACCTGGCTGGCCTCTTGGTCAGCCCATCTAGTGTGGTGTGCTTAGTGGCTGTGTGGAGTGTGGAGGGAGGTGCCCATTAGGGAGAAAAGTGCCCTCTTCCCTCTGTTTAGAGGGCACGACGCTACGAGCAGAGGAAGGGGTGCCGGCCTAGTTAGTGGTCAGTATTGCTCAGTAATGTCCATGGTCTGGGCCCGGCTCCAGGCAACTCAGAGGACTCTGGTGTGTATTCCCAGCTGGAACAGGAGAGGAGAGAGGCGGAGTTGAGGGCAAAACGGGAGGAAGAGGAGCAAAAGAGGCAAGAAGATCTCCGGAGGCAGCAGGAGGAGCTTCTCCGGAGACAGCAGGAGGAGGAGAGGAAGAGGCGGGAGGAAGAGGAGCTGGCTCGAAGAAAACAGGTACACACCCCACTGACCCCTCTGGTGGGGGGAGGGGGCGGAGACCCTTGGGGGGCCGGGAGGCATGGGCGCGCACCTTTAGAAAAAGCAACTGTTGGCAGGGTGTCTTTGGTCTGACTAGGTCATTGTTACGTGAGGTCCTTTGTGGATTTCCTGCAGTTTATAAACCAGTTGGATGCCTGCCTACAACCACGAGGGGAGTAACAGGATGCAGCCTTGGAGGCCATAGTTTGAAGGCCAAGGGTGCCTTGAGAAGGATGTCTCTCTGACGCCTACCTCTGCCCTCACTGTGCTCTTTTCCTTGGTGCCTTCTGCTGTTACCTCTGTCCGTTCTGCAAAACCATCCGCAGAGCTCTTCCATTGCCATCAAGCAGATTCCACCTCGTCGTGAGCTTAAAGGACACAGTAGAACTGCCTGTAGGGTGTCCTTACAGAAGTCCGCTGGTCCATCTCTCGCCCTCGGAGCAGCTGGTGGGTTTGAACAGCTGACCTTTGGTTAGCAGTTGAATGCTTAACTACTGTGCCACCACGGCTCAATTGAATACACAGGCCTTTTGATTTTTGAGAGATGTCATTTGTACTCTGTTCCTTCATTTTTGACATGTGATGTCATTTTCTCCTGCCCAGTATGCTGTTTATACGACACCTTCTATTGTTTGTTGATAGGGAATTTCATTTTATAGAAGTATTTAGCCACATCCTTGTTATTGGTGGAGTGAAAGCCCTTATTGCTAAGTCTTTGCTTAAGCATCTGTCGCCGAGGTCTCACAGCCTTTTTCTGTCTGTTTGCTCATTGGCACTGCTGTTCGGGAGTCTTCTATTCCTATGCTGGGCCTACCTTCTTATTGGGGTGTATTTATAGACTAAGTGAAAGACATCCACCCTGTAAGAGCCCCAATCTGGTCTGTACCTCAGTGCTACACGGTGGTGGTCCCAAAAGGTACTCTGAAATAGCAAAGGACCATCTGAGATGAAGCTTCCAAGTTACTGCTCTGATTTCTTCGCATCAGAGTGTACATTGTCTTACAAAGGTGGGACGTCATATTGTAGGAAAACCCATTTCATTCTGTCTTGCTCAGCGTTTCCTGAGTCCGTCTGACGGGCCCTTTTCTGTGTAGTACGTGGTACTGTCGGTGGAGCAGCTCAGAACATGCTCTCCTCCATAGTGGCTTCTTCCCACTTCCCAGGTTGGCCGTTCCTCCAAGGGGAAAACCAAAAGGTTTCCCTCCAGGAAGCCTTCCCAGCCCTCGAGTATGTGACCCCAAAGCCTTCACCGAGTGTTGCTGCTGGACAGCGCTTTTTAAATTTATAGCTTTATTGGCACGTTATCCTCATGTCATACGAGTCAGTAGTTCAATCATACCAAGAAGAATCGTACAATCATTATCCCAGTCAATTTTACAACATTTTCTTTCTCTCCCTCTCTCTTTCTATGGTTAAATTGCTTCTAAAATGAGTTGTGTGATCACAGTCAGTTCATGTGTTCCCTCCCTGCTCTTGCATGTATCCTTTGCTCCCCCAACCCCCTCACCCTCCCTGTCTTCCACCCCCACCTCCTCTGCAAACCCTTGCATCAGTTCTTACCCACGCCTCAGCTCCTGTGCTTCACACGCTGGGAAACCCAGCAGAAACAAAGTAACCTGGCAGGCCTCTTTCTGTGTCTGTTGTAACGGACCCTCAGCCTCAGCCCTTTGTCGCTAGGAAGAAGCTCTGCGCCGCCAGCGGGAGCAGGAGCGGGCACTGAGGCGGCAGCGGGAGGAGGAGGAGCGGCAGCAGCAGGAGGAGGCTCTGCGGAGGCTGGAGGAGAGGAGGAGGGAGGAGGAGGAGCGGCGCAAGCAGGAGGAGCTGCTCCGCAAGCAGGTGGTGGGGCGGGGGCGGCTTGGGGTGGGGTGGGGGCTCAGTGCCGAGGGCTTGACCAGTCTGCTCACAGTTGTACTTTCCTGTGGAGGCGAGGCGGTGCGGCCATCCTAGGAAACCAGCACCTCCACACGGCTCATTAAACGTTGGCAAACTGTTTGGGACCGTTGGGATGTTTAGGAAGCTTGAGCAGCGGGTGTACAGAGTCCAGCACTCCTGTCTGCTGAGAGTCCTGAACTCACCCCGGCCCGCTGTGATGATTACCGCCCCTGCTTCGAATTCAGGTGTTCTTGGTTTTAAAATGGTGTCCCTCTCTGCCCCAGAGTGCCACCCAGGCCTTGAGTCAGGTTAGTTCTTGTGCCCATGGGCTCTGGCCTGGCCAGTTTCTCAGACTCCCTTTGGTTATGGTGACCGGGAAGGGTGTGCAGAGCTCGGGTGTCTGATGGGACTCTGCGCTGGGGTTTGTCTGAGGAACATCTCCGGGGTGACCGTTCTGGAAGGAGGCTCCGGGCAGTGAGTGCTGTGGCCCTGCGGAGGGCTCTTCCTACTGATGTTGGTCACCCGGCTGAAGTGGGGCCCGTCAGGCTTGTTCTCCCCTGCCCTGGCTATCTCCTTGGGTAAGAAGTGACTTCCCACAGCCCCTTCTGAGGAGGGGGCAGAGACGTGTGTGGTTAGCATGAAATAGAGCTGGGGACTGCCTGCTCTTGGGGGCTCTTGATTGGACCTCTCTTGGAACCCTCAGCTCCCATTCGACCTTCGATACTTCGTCAGCTGTGGGGGAAGGAGGTCCTGGGGACGGGGTTGTATGGACTGGTGTTGTGGCCCAGGCCCAGGGAGCACTGCGGCTTGTCTTGCCTTGTGTGCAGTGAGCAGGCTTGCAGAGGCGCAAGGAGACCTGAGGGCGCAGTGGGATGGGGTGGTGGGAAGCACACCGTGGGGAAGCAGCAGCAGGCAGAGGAGCCTGCTGAGGGACAAGTGACTGACGGAGAAGCGGCACTGCGAGCACCTGTGGGCCTGAGTTCCGGATAGCTGAGGCCGGGGCTGGAATCCAGTGGTCTTGAAAAGGTGCTTTGGTTCCAGAACTGTCTGCAGCCTCCTGGGACCCACGAGGCCAGGCAGCTCTTTGTGCTCAGCACACGGTCAAGGCGGAAGCTCTGTTGCACATGGTGTCGAGGCCCGTCTGGTCCCCTGGGGATCAGTGTTTCCACCCCCAAGTCAAAGGGGGGCCCGCTCTGCCAGCAGCCAGCACCGTGATTCCTGCCCAGGGCTCCTGCCTGAGTTCGCTTTCCACAAAGATCTAAAGAGCTGCCCATTTTCATTAACCCAAAGCAGAGGGTTTTCACTTTTCGCCAAAGAAGACGATGCTGTTACACTCAGTGCTTCTGCACAGCCAGTGAGCACCTTGTGGTGGGGTAATGGAGCTTTGAGGTGCTGCCTCGGAGAATTAAAAAAAAAAATTCATCTCACGGCTCTTGGGTCGATTGAATTCACGGTGACCTTATAGGTTTGACTAAACTGCTCTTGTGAGTTTCCAAGATTATATCTTAACAGGAGCAGAAAGCCTCATTTTTCTCTTAAGGAGCAGGTGGGTATTTGGAACTGCTGACTTTGAGGTTAGCTGCTTTGGGGTTCTTAACCACTGCTCCAGTAGGGTCAGATTTGGGTAGTGTGTTTTGGGGTGTCTGGGGTGCTCAGGAAATGGCAGCTGCTCTTTGGTTTTCCAGAGCGGACTGGCTTTCCATCTTGTGTCCCCAGGAAGTTTGTGCTTTTTCAGTGACCCAATGTTATGTAGACTTTTCTTGTTTTTCACTATCGTTTCTTTCCTTTTCCCTTCTGGGAAGGAGGAGGAGGCTGCAAAGTGGGCGCGGGAAGAGGAGGAGGCCGCGCGGCGGCTGGAGGAGGACCGACTGCGCATGGAGGAGGAGGAGCGCAAGAGGAAGGAGCTGGAGCTGCAGCGGCAGAAGGAGCTGATGCGCCAGAGGCAGCAGCAGCAGGAGGCACTGCGCAGGCTGCAGCAGCAGCAGCAGCAGCAACAGCTGGCGCAGATGAAGGTAGGGGGTGGCGGTAGCAGGAGAGGCCTGTGCCCTGTGGATGGCTGGGTAAAGTCGGTGGTAGTGGAGTTGCCGCTGATGAGTGTGTAATAAACAGATGGGGTTGGGACATGAGCAGTGAAGCAGGCCCTCCTAAGGAAATATCTCCTGTCCACGTTGGTCACCTCCACACGGAGTCTTTAGGGAGGGCACGTGAAGTAAGTAACCAGGCTTCTAGGGTGGATGGGGCTGTGTGAGAGAGGAACCAGCACAGTGTGAGGGGAGCAGTGAGTCTAGGCAGGGCCGAGTCCCTGGGGCTGTGTAGCCCTGCTTGCTTGGGACTTCACAGTCTGCAGAAGGAACAGCACACGGAGGACTTTCACATGGGGAACTGCTCCGTCATCTTCGCAAGGGCGTGCATACTGAGACGCTCAGAGACCGGCCTCAGAAAGCCAAAAAGGGAAGAGCACACCATGCAAGCCTCTAACGGCTGTGCTGAAGGATGCCGTGAGCTGAAAAAACGGGGAATGAATGATAGCGGAAAATGGAAGGAACACACAAGAGTCACGGTACCAAGAACAGGTTGCCATTCAGCTATTTCAGGAAATACATATGACTGAGACCCACTGGTGTTAAACGAAGGCTCCAAAGGCGTGACAGAATGCCAACGGATAGGCCTCCACAGGCTGGTGATGCACGAGAAGCATCCACTTGTCTGTGCCAAGAATTTGGAATACAGCTGCCTGGCCGACCAGCTAGGAAGAGATCCATGTTTGTGCCCATTCCAAAGAGCGGGTGTCCCACAGAATGTGGGAGTTAACCTGACAGTCTCATCACTCTCACGGCCAAGTAATAGCTTTATTGACAGAGCACTACTGGAGAGCCCAGCCAGACTCAGAAGAGGACATGGACATGGAATGAGTGAGTCCATTGCTGCCCTCGGATGAACCTCGGCAGGAAGCAGAGAATACCTTTGGAAAATGTTGTTCTGTATGTTGTTGACTGCAGCGGGGTGGCTGTGTGGAGCAGTGGGTGTGCCTTGTGCTGAAGAGCCCTGGGCTGACTCCCTTGGAAGAAGCTGGCTGGTGGGACTATGAATGCATTCAGGCCCCAAGTAGTTACTGTACACAGGTCTGCCTCTGCTCTCCCTTCACTCTCACGGGACTGGTGGACTGGACGCCCTGTTGCCTTGTGGGACTAATTTCCCCCGGTCTGTTTGTTGATCGCAGTGCTTGCTCCTCCTTTCACTTGATCTGATTCACGTCGCTTTGTGTGTCAGTGCCAGGTGTAATGTGCCTCACTCCTGAGAGGGTAGGTCAAATGTGTGTGGGTTCCATTCTGAATTGTTTAAAATCATTAAGGTTCGGGGCGGGCAGCAAATGCAGTCTGAGAAATTAGGAGCGGGGTGAGACTGGGGTTCAACGTTGTAAGCCGAGCCACGGTGGGCCTCAAGTGCTTCCTGCCCACCAGCCCTCACAAGAGCCTCTCCTTCCTCTCACCAGCTTCCCTCTTCATCCACGTGGGGCCAGCAGTCCAATACAACGGCGTGCCAGCCCCAGGCCACACTCTCACTGGCTGAAATCCAAAAGCTAGAGGAAGAGCGAGAACGGCAGCTCCGAGAAGAGGTGAGTGTCCAGGTTCGGCTAAGCTGCTCAGACAGTGTTCTGGGCAGCGAGGGGCATTCCCTGCTCACTGGTGACTGAGGGAAACCGTCTCTGGCAGGACTGTGGGCGTGGTTGTTGGGACACAATTTCCAGGCCGCAGTTCTGGCCCTGTAGGAGGTGTTAGCCCCAGACTCCGGCGACCCAGGCCAAAAGGGAGCAAAACGCTGCCCCTTGTCCCCCTTTCTCACCATGCTGAGTCAGACCGCCGTGGCTCATAGGGTCTTCCTGGGTGGTTTTGCAGCTGGGTTCCCAGACCTTTCTCCCTGGCCTGTCTTTGTCGGGAAGCTCGACTCAAACTGCACCCCGGCAAACACGCAGACCCCATTGATGACGCTTCACGGGTGAACCCCAGGTCCCCATGGAGGACGGGAAGCCTGCTGTGAGCTGCACTGCCCCTGACAAGCAGGAAGGTTTCACAGGAATGGGGGTGGGCAGCCGACACCATGTGTTTTCCCGTAAACGTTGTACTACTGCAGCTCCTGAGATAGACTTGTGGGTGTTTTTTACACTTATTCTGTGAGGTTGATGTTCCGGATGCATAGTACTCTCTCCCCTCAGAGGCAGGCGCTGTCCTGATTTTCCAGGATTGAGGAACCTCTGCCCTTCCACCCCTGTTCTCTGGTTCAGGACAGACAGGGTGGAGGGTGCAGGTCTACCTGGCGGCTGGGGTGGACTCACTGCCCCCGGGGGCCCACGCTCATCCCTTTGCACTTGTTCTCTGGGTCCCTTCTTGGTTCAAGTCGAGGGAGCACAGTGAGAACCAGAAGCTGCTCACCTCTCTTGCCCTTTAGGGAGATGGAGAGCTGAATGGATCGCAGCGCAGGAAGGGTGGGGGGAGAGAGGGGGTATGGTGGGTCTTGAGGGAGGTGGTGGGGACTGCCTGTTCTGAAGCTGGAAAAGGTACCCTCTTGTAGCTGTGACCTGGAGAGAGTGCTTTTGGGATGTGCTTTGAGGCCGAGCAGTCAGTTTGTCAGAGAATTGCCCACCATCTTCTTTAGACCAGGGGCTGCTTGACTGAGGTGGGTGTGCTTCGCCAGAGGCCTGCGGTGTCTCCGCGCCCACCTCCCAGCCTTCACTTCTGCCGGCTTCTCTCCGGAGTTTGTCAGCACATGACGGCTGCAGCGCAACGACGCTTCTCCTTTTGCAGCCGGAAGTTATTCCACAGTTGAACCCAAAACAATGTGGGATCAGAGTGGGACTGTGAGGTGTTAATAATTGCCTCTTATCTTCCTCTGATTCCTTTTCTATGAACCTCTGCATCTCCCACACCCCTTGCATGAGCTGTAAACTGCCACTCAGTCCCTTGCCCGGCCTCTGGGAGCCTAAGGCCGTTGCATGTCGTGGCCCCCCCCCCCCCCCCCAGTGTTCTGTTCTTTCTGGGTCTCTGTGGAATGTCTGCTGATTGTACCTTGCCCCTCTGGATGGACGTCTCCATCTTTTCTCTGCTTTTTTATCTTAATGGAACGTCCTGGTTTTATCTTTCTGGCCTCTCATGCTCGTAATACCATCTTTCCTTACTTCACCAGAGACCTCCTTTGCTTGGAGCCTTTCTGACCCTGCTGTTGGGGTCTCATTGGCAGCATCATCTCCCTCTGCTCCCCTCTAGGCTCGTTGGCTTACTTGCCGCTATGGTCCTTGACTTTCCTGTAAGCAGTGCCTGGGGGTGCCTGGGGTGACACTGGGCTTGGCTTCTGGTGAGGAGAGGTGCTTGCTATAGGCAGTGGGGACATACAGGGCAGTGGCAGACCACTTGCACCTTCAGCGTGGGCATGTGTGCTGTCCATCAGAAATACCAAGCCCAGGGAGGGTGGCCCCCGAAGGAAAGAGGTGAACGTACTCCTGCCTGTTCAGCCTCTCCCCAGAGGATCCCCCACACACATGCACATGCTCCAGAGAGAGGGTTGTCCCTGGGCTTAGGGGTGAGGAGCAGTCTGGGGTCTTAGAGTTTCTTCTTAGAGACTTTCAGGTAGTCTAGTGTGTTAGCCTTGTTAGGACCCCTTTCTTTAGGATAGCAAGCAATTCCTGAGCTTCTTGTATGTATTGGCCTGTGTTTGATCACCCTTCACTTAAAACCTACCTCATTGCTGTTGACTCAGCTCAATTGTAGTGACTTCCTAAGGCAGTGGGTCTGTGTGGAGGCAGGCGGCCTTTCTCCCCCAGACCGGCCGATGAGTGGTCTGCTGCTTGACCCGCTGTGCCACAGGACTTCATGAGCTATGCACTGGCTGTTGAGTCTCTTGTGTACACTCTGTCAGAACTCTAGGTCTCCACTTTTTAAAATACGTTATGTGAGGCTGTGGGACGCTCCTATGTTTATCCAGAAGCTCTCGTTGATTTTCTAAGAATTAACTCAGCTTTTCACCTCTTCTTTCCCATAATACCTGTGGCTTGTGACATTTTTATTTGTTACACAAGAATGAATCAATGGAGTGTCTCATGGAACGTGGTCTAGCTGCGACCTACTGGGCGTCCGTGTAGCCCACAGGACGTTTGAGCCGGAATGGTGCGGTGGGAAGTTGAGCTGGCTTTGGTTTTTGTGCTGCAGCAAAGGCGTCAGCAGAGGGAGCTGTTGAAGGCACTTCAGCAGCAGCAGCAGCAGCAGCAG